GCATGCCCAGGGCAAGGAGAGGCTCTTCCAGGGCTGGAAGACACCACAGACCAGCTCAGAAAGCACATTCTGGGCACGGCCCAGGCCAAGCTCTGCACCTTTCCTCAGAGCCAGAGCTGTGGAGGCTGCTCTGAGCCCAGCTCCAGTGTCTGTCTCTCTGTCCATCCAGGGGCCAGCGGAGTGGGCCGTAGCCACATCAAGAACGCTCTGCTCAGCAGCAACCCAGACAAGTTCATGTATCCACCCCCATGTAAGTACCCAGCCAGGGTGGAGGGCACAGCACAGGATGCATTTCCTCCATTTCCTCTCACCTCTTTGATCCCAGACGTTCTGACGGGAGGTGGGAGATGTTTGTCCAGCAGAAGTCAGGGGTCCCCACATGGGGCACTGCAGGGCCTCCCTGCCTGCTGTCCCATGTGCTGAACATGCCCACAGGCAGCTGCAGGGGCTGCTGCCATCCACCCACTCTGCTGAGACACCTCAGTCTTCCCACCTCCGTGTCTGCCCTCGGGCTGGCTGAGTTCCATTCTTGTCCCAGGAAGTAAAGGGGGATTAGTACAGCCTAGTCTTGAGGAATACAGGGCCTCCATGGCTGCTCCACTCTGTCCCCTGGTCCTTCTGGTGGCCAGCACTCACCTCTCCCTCCCTCCCCAGACACCACACGCCCCCAGAAGAAGAATGAGGTGGATGGGAAGGACTACTACTTTGTCTCCACCGAGGAGATGACCCGGGACATCTCAGCCAATGAGTTCTTGGAGTTTGGAAGCTACCAGGGAAACATGTTTGGCACCAAGTTTGAAACAGTGCACAAGATCCACCAGCAGGACAAAGTCGCTATTTTGGACATTGAGCCCCAGGTAGGGAGCAGGGGGAGGGGTGGGCAGGACAGGTGCCCTTGCCCAAAGAAAAAGCCAGCGAGTTCTGGGGTGGCATTTCCATTCCCAGGGTGGGTATTCCCCATCCTGGCACACACCTGGCTGTGATAGCCAGGCTGGTTTGTGGGGAAGCATGGGGTGGGGGGGACAGCAGCCTTGGCTGTGCTTGGTCCCACCCTGGGGAAGGGCACACCCTGATAACAACCCCCCTCTCTCCACAGACCCTCAAGATCGTGCGCACAGCCGAGCTCTCCCCGTTCATCGTCTTCATTGCCCCAACAGACAAGGCAGAGGAGGTGAGTGGCACAGGGTGCCAAGCCTGTCCCTTTCCTGTCCCCCTCCAGCTGGGCTCACCAGCCCATGGCCAGGGGACAACCAGCCCTAAGCAACAACCCAGGGCTCTTCCTGCTCCACATCAGCTTCTTCCTGTTTGCTGAGATTTTGTGGTTGTCCAGGAGAACTCAGACCCAAGAAACAGGAATTCCTGCAGCTGTAGACTCCCTGTCTCTGACTGACACCCCCCAGCAACCATCATCCCTGCAGCATAATCAGCCTCTAACACGTGTGGGGAGCTCAGCCCAGCATCCCCGGGGCAGGATGATTTATCCTGCCATCAGCTATGCAAATGGACACACAAACAAGGGCTGCTTTCATCCTTTGCCTCATTGAGATGCTGATCTCTTTAACTATTAGGATGAAAGCAACACTGATAGGGCAGTTAACTCACTCAGAGCCAAGCAGGAGGCTGGAAATCACGGGCTACCAATTCCCGGGAAGGCCCTTGGATGCAGGAGCAGTTCTGCCTACCCTGCCCTGCCCCAGCCTGGCAGGGAGGTGGGAAGTGATGGGACAATGGGAACCCAGAGCTGTGCTCCTCCTGGACTCACAGGCAGCCAAGGCCACCTATCCCAGCCTATTCAATTTGAATTCCTAATGCTTAAGGTACAGGGAGGGTATTTCTGCATCCTTCAGAACAAGCATTGTGCAGCTATTTGGAGGCACATCAGCTGGCAGAGGGATGCACAGCCAGATGCAGCAGGAAGGGGGAAAGGTGGGCAAGTCTCAGAGCCTCAGGGGCCTGCTGCCCCCACCTCCTGCTGTCACCTACTGCTGCCTCCAGCCGGAGGAATTACATCCTGCTGCGGTAGGCAGGGCCAGCCCTGCTGCCAGGCACTATTTATAACCCTGCAGCTCGGCTCACTCTTACCAGAGGGATGCAGCAGCGTTAATGTGACCCAGGAGAGCTCACATGACCCTGCAAACTGCTCATTGCTCTCCCCTCTCCACCCCCAAGAGCTGCCAGCTTCATCCATAACAGAAAAAATTCATTTTCCAAGAATAGATGGATATATTCAGTAACTCTTTCAAGATGAAAGTAGCTAAGCAGTTATCTCCTTTTTTCATTTTTTTTTTCCTGGGGTAATTGTTGATTACATTTAAAGTTTGTCAGTGTTGAACTGAACACCTTCAAGGCAGAAACCTGCTGTGCCTTCTGGGAAGGTGTGGTATTGCAAAGATGACATCTGTAATACGGTTTTAGTGCTGACCACTAAAGGTGTTGGTGCTGTGATTCATACCAAAGTGGCCTAACAGGGAAGGGAAAGACATTAAGACTTGGACTGGTTTAGGTCTATTATTATCTGTTGAGGTCCTTTTGATCTATTAATAATAGATATATACTAGATTTAGTAATTAATAATAATCTAATAATATCTGTTTAGGTCTATTAATATCTAAGTCTATTTAATATATTAATGCATGCAATTATATAATAGATATATTATAATTAATATTATAATCTAAGAATATCTGTTCAGGTCTATTAATATCTGCACACAGCAGAGCTCAGTGAGCACTGCACCCCAAGCTATCCCCCTGCTCCCCAGGCACAGAAGCTGCCTGCCTTTCAAGCTCCATTAGGAAAATATGTAGAAATCGCCTGGAATTCATTGTTGGGGGCAGAGCTGCCTGCAGGGATACACCCTTGGGATGCCCCTACTATCCAGGCAGGAGGGGGCAGGCAGCTTTGCTTTTACTATCAAAATAAAGCACTAAAACCCAGCCAGAACCAGTAGAGAGAGGCTGGTAAAGCATCCTGCAGGGATTCTACTTGCAACCCAGCCTGAGGCCCTGAGCTGGCTACACTGCATAGCCCTGAGCACCCTGCTGCTCCTGAATTCTCCCTGGCAGCCTCCACAGAGCGTTTTACAGGTAAATATGAGAACAAGCAGGTCTGGCCTTGCTCTGGCAGGTAACCTGATGCTGAGAGTCCAGCCAGAGAAACTCAGAGACCCTGGTCTGTCCAGCTGCAAGGATGCCCTGTGCTCTGGTACTTCGCAACCACTGGAGCTGTTTTGGTGGGGGGTTCCTGGTTGGGGTGGGCAGTGAAATTCCTCTCCTGTTCCTCCTTGCAGTCTGAGGCTCTGCAGCAGCTCCGGAAGGACTCGGAGAGCATCCGCAGCCGCTACGCACACTACTTCGACCTCTCCCTGGTCAACAACGGGGTGGAAGAAAGCCTCCAGCTGCTGCAGGAAGCCTTTGAGCAGGCCTGCAGCTCTCCACAGTGGGTGCCTGTCTCCTGGGTCTACTGAGAGGGCATCCAGCCCCAGCCGCTTCCCATCAGCCATCCTGCAGCTGTGGGGAGAAACCTCCTCAGCTTCCCCCGGCCCACACACACAGCCCAGCACAACTCCCTCCTTCTGCTGCTCCATGGACATGCTCTCAGTTGGTTGACACACACACACACACACACAGAGGGTGCCCACATCTCCTCTCCTGGGGGAAGGAACACAGGACGGGGGCTGCCTGGGGGACAGCCACCCCCCCGGCACTGCAGGGTAAGTCAGTGGCTGCAGCAGAGCCCAGGGCACCCCGTTAGCTCAGAGCACAGCTCCCTGCCTCACCAGGCCAAGGGAAAGCACAGTCCTGCTGTAAGCACCCACCTGATCTTCTCTGCACCGGTCCCAAGGGAAGTGGCAGGGCAGGGGCTTTCCAGGCAGATGTCTTCTGACATTGCAGGAGTGCACAGAAACAACCCAGACCCCTGCCTGGTGTCCATGAGGCTTCAAGGAATCCCCACAGCTTAGGAGGCCTCACACAGACCAGCTACAGCCAAGGGTTTCCTCTTACAAACAGGGAAGGGCAGAAAAAGGCAGGGGTGGATTTGATGGATGTGGCGTGGAACACCCACCCCCAGGCAGGCCTCGCCCTGTGTTCCAAGGTTGGGGTTTTCTGATTCATCCTGTGCAACCATAGGTGTAAAAAAAAAAACAAACAAACTCACTGTATTGAAATTCTCACCGTGCAGCTTGGATTGTTACAGCCTGGCCAGAGAAACTCAGCAGCAGCTGAGCAAGTCCCACAGACCAAACCCCAGAGGGACTGCTCAGTGGGTAAATTACGTCCAGCCACAAGTATCTGTTGCATGCAGTAGAAAAGTCTCTACAAAGATCATCCAGGCATGTTTTTCCAGAGGCTAGGGTGTCTCTCGCACTCTGTATGCAAACATGAAAGCCATCCTCACCACGGGGTTCCTCCTGCAGGAGTGCACTGATGCACAAGCCCCACCACAGCACGCCTGGGAAGCATTGCTGTGCCTCCTGGGCCAACCACAGCCATCTTGTAGGTGAAAAAATCTCATTTGTGTGTTCAGTCAGCTATAGGGGCAAGGGGGAAGGTGGTTAAAAAGTCTTGTGCAATTTTTTTTTTGTTTGTTCCTTTTCTTTTTTTAAGAATGCCAAAAAATAAAATCTATGTGCAATAGGGACCTTCGTTCTGATCCACTGCAGGGAAACAACGAGCAGCAATAAATGTGCGCTGAAACATTGCCATGGCTGGTGTTTTTTACCTCTCAGGCTGGGCACTCAAGATGAGGCAGGCCAAGGAACAGAGAGAACACCCAGCCCCAGGTGGGTTTGGCCCCACAGCACCCCTAAAATCCCAAGCAATGACAAGACCCCCCGTAGAGATGGTCCATATCATCACCCCCATTTCTCTGCCCTCCCCATGAACAAACCACTGACCTCTCAGAGGAGCCAGGTGAGTAACAAAGTGGCCCAGTTAAAAACAGGAGTTTTTATTTTTTTTATGTAAAAAAAGAGGACATAAAAATGGACCTTATTTTTATTTTTTTTCCTGCTCGGGTTCTGACAGCCACCAGCTGCTGTCCCCACTGCCTGCATTCATCTCCAGCTATGGAGGGGAAGATAGACAGTTCAGATAAAAGCAGAGAACGAGGCTAAAAGTTACAGGATCTGCGGGGATGAATCTCAGAACAAAGCAGCCTGGATCCCTTCCCATTTAAAATGAGCCAAAATCCTGGCACAACACTAGCCCTGTGACAGAGAAGAGACCTTTGACCCCCAGCAAGCCATTCCAGATAAGGAAATAAAGCAAAAAAGAGGAATTAAAACGTTTTAACGTTTACCTTTTGTGAAAAAGGTAAAGAAAAAAAGTATTGAAGAATGTCTGGGTGGACTATTTGATTTCATGTAGGTTGAGCCAAGCGTGTGGCCAAGTTAAAAAACAAACCAGAGCCCTCTGAATAACTGGTCTGACCATCCCCATCCAAACCCATTCAGACGGGCTGTGACAAAGCCAGTCCTCCAGGCATCAATACATTCTTGTAACTGTCAGGTAACAGTTTCAGCCTTGGAAGAAAAGGAAGAGGCAGTACTAGAAGGGGGAGAAAGATTATTCCACCCTCTAGGTGAAAACAAGTAAGGGCCAGAAGTTACAGCTTCCCTATGATATCACTTCTTATTGCTGTCATGGTGCTCAGCTTTAGAGATCAATCCAGTGCAGGGACAGTCAGGCACCCCCACTCCTCTGGCAACCCTTAAAACAGGATGAAGAGGGGCACCTGAGCAGGGCACATGCTGGGCAAACACATGCTCACTGATACACAGCAGAAGAGAACTTGCAGCTTGCTGGCCCTCCTGCCAACACAGCCAGTCCTGCTCTTCCCAAGGCCTCAGGTTCCTCTTTCCTAATGAGGTTGCCTGCTTTGGACAGATCCAGTTGCTTACTCCGAGCTCTCTTCGACCTCCTTTTGTTTCTTCTTCTTCTTTTTCTTGGTGCTGGTCTCAGTGGTCTGTGGAGAGGTCAGGGAGAAATCAAAAAGGAATCCCCCACTGCTCATTTCAGGAGGAACAGTCCCACTCCCTCACCACTATAAAAACACTCAAGCACAGACTGAATGCCAGCACCATCCTCCCCCCAGGGCCCACGATAGGGCACCAGAGCACAGAGGTGGCCTGGCAGGAACCCACCCCCAGAAGCTTCACCTGCCCTATCTCCCAACACCCTCAGCCAGTTCAGTCTACAAAAGCACCCCTGTAAAACATCTTCCTCTGCTCTGGGAGCCTGGCACTCTGAGGACATGCACAGCAGGATGCTGATGTGTTTATCCTGGAGGTGTTTGGGACACTTCCCCCACGTTTGGACCGTACCACGGCAGCACCCATGACATACCACTTCTATTTGCTCTGCCCCACTCTCAGCTGCCTCTTTGGCCTTCTTCTCTTTCTTCTTCTTTTTCTTTTCCTTTTTGCTCAGCTCCTCTGCTGGAGGGGTGGCAGGGGATGGTGGGGTCACAGCTTCATCACCTTCACTCTCCGACTCTCGCTTCCTCTGTTGGGGGACACGTTGTCAGACACACCAACACCTTCCAACAGAGCTCAGCCGAGGGGGAAACTGTTTCCAAGCCCACTGCAGTATTTTGCCTCTAGCATATGCTGTCTAGGATTTGCTTCTGCCAGTACTGCACCCTGTATTTCTCAGTGCTTCCCGTATCCTAAATATTTATGTATAACACTGCTTCACCTTTTTAGAGGCGTGTAGAAGCCCTGACTCAGGCACATATCCATTCTTCATCAGGGCCCAAAAATCCTACAGCCACAGAGCACTAACAATACTCACTTTTGAAGCCCTCTCCAGCTCTGAAACAGGTTGGTCATCAGCAGCAGCTGCTTTTTTCTTGGAAGTATCCCTGAAAGGAAGGATGCCCAGGTTGAGCAGGACAGTTGCTGCCTCACACTGCTCTGCACATGTTCAGAGCCCTGTTCCCCTCACAAGGGCTCCACAAGCCACCCCAGGAGCTGGGTGGGGAAGTTGGTGTGGGGGAGACCTGCAGCCTGCACCAGGGCCAGCTGGGCTGGGCAACAGCAAGGCCTCCCCCATTTTTAATTTAGCAGACTGACTCCCTCTAGAACCACAAGCACAGGCTAAAAAGGGATAACTGTCTGCTCAGGCCCTTTCCTTGTGACACTGCCCAACATCACATTCCCGGGACTGCAAGAAACGCCAAGTGCACCGCACAGGTCAGGACGGTCAACCACCCTGGGCCAAGCCTAACACGTTCCATGGCCAAACAGCAGCACCCAACCCTGCCCTTGCTGCACAGGACTCCCCTCTGAACACCACGAGGGAGCCACACACCCTGTGCCCACCTGTAATCCACATACTCCTTCTTCCAGGAATCTGGGGTGCTCTCATTGGGCTTTCCGTGCTTGTCCAGCAGACCCTTCTGGATCATCATCTTCTTCTGACTGGCCTGAGAGCCAAGGGCAACAAGTCAAACTGCAGCTCCAAGGTAGGAAAGATCCTCCCTGGGGCTTCAGCCACTCAGCCTAAGAGGAGGTAACCCAGGAGCAAGCCAAGCCAGCAACTATAGTGTGCTTAAACACTTTTCCAAGGACCTTCTAACAACTCACACAAAACATGCCCTGCACAGCTGCCTAAATCTCAGAGAGGAGGTATCTTCATCAGTAAATAAGGAGCCAATGGATGTTCCCATTCTTCCTGTCCCTGAGGCACAATTTAGTGCCTCACAAGACAGTTTGCATTTAAACAGTGCTGCAGCTGCACCAGGAGAAGCAGCTCCTTGCCCAGCCACTCCAGAGCCATCAGCAAGGGGTGATAGATGAGAGTCATCTTTGCACAGCGTGCTAATGCCATCCATTTCACATCATTTGGCTCTTCACCACAGGAGGGCTGGTGCTGTGCAGACCTGAGGAGCCCATGCCTTAACACCTACAACTGCTCCAGAAAGCTGCAGTAGAATTGCAGGAAGTCCCTGAAGAACACACAGGCACAGCTCTGCCCAAGGGGACCCCAAGAGTCCCACATCCCACCACTGCTGGGCTCCCACCACTGCACTGGGACCGACTGCACCCCCCCACCGCTCACCTTGGGGCCCAGACCCCATTTTCGGGGGTATGTGTCTCTCTCCATGATCACTCTCTTGATCTTGGCCACGATGCCGTGGTCACAGGTGGAAATGACTGCTGTGGTCATCAAGGCAACGGCTGCAGAAGCAGGCAGGGAGGGTCATCAACTCTTTAATAGCAGAACTATCAGCACAAAGAGGACCAACATCCCCCACCAGGGCTGTTTCACCCCAAAGACTCACTGGAAGCAGGATCTGGACTAAGACTTCCAAAAGCTGCCCTGCTCAAAGGCAGCCATGGATTAACACCACCACCCCCAGGCACCTCAAGGAACCACATCACTACAGGAAGGAACAGAGCTGCTCCTTTGCCAGCTCCCAAAGCCTTGCAGTGCCAAGCTAGAGGAGACTAATCCTCCCAAAAATTTTATGTTTTTCCCCCCAGCACCCCAAGATGAGCAGAGTGCAGGCAGTACAAACAGCAGGGTTGAGTGGCCTGGCTGTATTACAGCTCCCAAGGCTCCTCAGGTGGCAGCGTGTGATCAGACACCATCCCTCGTCCCAGTGAGGATGGAGCTCCCCAGAGAGGGGCTCCAGCCCTGCCAGCACTGCTCCCCTCCTGCAGGCAGCCAGCCACACATCCCAGCAGCCCCCAGAGGGACACTGCAGGATGTCTGGAGGCTGCACAGCACCCAGACCCTAGAACAGGGAGCGGGGTGCTGCAGGAAGGCAGCACCACTGCACTCAGAGAATGGATAAACTGCGTCATCACCTCACACACACAGCTGATGAAAACCTCACACCCTGCCCAAGACTGTTTCTTAACATCCTGCCCAACCCCAGCTGCCTTGGGCCCACAGTCCCCGTCAGGAAGCACTAATTAAACCTTCTGTGCAGGAGGACTCATTTGTGGTGCATTCACTGTCACACAGCCTGGGTTAGCTGAGCACAAGAAGAACGAGGAGTTCCATACCTAGGCAGATAGCTTCTCCTTTTGTGGTGATGACAACAATCTCCTGATTAAGCTCAATACCGTCTTCATACCTCAGAACACCAGGCAGCATGATCTTGGCTCCATAGCAAATGGCATTAACCTGAAAATGTGCAGAACAGGAGGGCTTATAGCTCTTAGGAGAGTAAAAACAAGGTATCAAGTGCCTCTGATATTTAGCTTCCCACTGCCATTACCATCCCAGCTATAATACCTCTACCCATTTATCTTTGTGCACTACATAAAACCTGGGGGCTTTGGAAGAAGCCAGCAAAGCATCCACCACAGCAAACAGTGGGTGAGGCAGATCTCTCATAACCATCAGCGTCCTCCACAAGTGAGGAGAGCAGCTTCTGACAATTCTTGACTCTTGCATCTCACTGCTGATCTGGCAGTGGCTCTCACTGGGTTCTACACGAGTCACAATCAGGATAGCACTGGACATCACGTGGCTCCTGATCCCCCATGTTAAATCTGCTGTACAAGTCAAGAGGACGCCATGAACTCTCTGTCAGCTGGCACTCCCTCAGGAACTCACCGCACTGTCTTTCATGACGAGCCTCTTGTGTGTAGTCAGCAGCTTCTCCAGGGGCAGGATGACTCTCCTCAGGTAGCTTTCATCCTTGTTGTTGTCGTACTGCCACTGTGCATCCAGCACGTCGTGCATGGTCACCATGTTGTCCTGCAAAGACACAACCCCTCTAAACTCTGCCACCAGCCACCAACTTCAAACACCGACACACACACCAAAAAGCAGCTGAAGTCCACAAGCAAATAATGTGCTGAAAGGGAGCGAAGAACAGATGCCCAACTCAAGCATTAAGACGTGATCTAAAAGAGGAAAAAATACTTTCCATCTGGAGCTTGAGGTCAGCCTGACTTGGGCTACCAGACTCCAACGTTCCTAATCTCAGACAGCACTTGGATCTAGTGTATAATGTCTGTCCACAGGAAACCTTAAAATACGACTAACACAACTTCCTGGGACTTCTAGACAGTCTAAATTAACCAGCTCTTCCAAATGTAGCATGGAATAAATCCTGAAGGAATTCTAAGCACCCAACACCTGGAATTCAGAAATGACTGCCAGGGATTATAGCTGTGCTGAGAGCACAGATGGGTGGGGAAGCACTTGCATTTTGATACTGCAGCTTTGCAAAGAGAGAAATTAGTTCTGGAGGATCCAATTATGACCAGACTGAAAAGGCTGTACAAGCATTCAAGATCACACTAGGCTGCATCTCCCAGGCTCATTCCAATGAAACATGTTCCCTGGGCTGTGCCAATGCCAAGCTGACAGCCAACATTCCTGAACTCGAGGAATGTGTGGTTTTTGTAGGCTGAGAAACACAGGTGACATAAAACAAACCTTCAGTCACCACAGTGCACTTCCCAGTCACTCGCTGTCCCAAAGTTTAATTACCAGAACAGGAGCAATATCCTGAACTGAACTCAACACTTTGGTTACAGACCACCTATGGAAAAGAGCTCCCACTTTTTGGGGGCTATTCACGGAATTCCTCCCGGCAGCCACGTGCCTAAACCTTCTCCTATCACCATAAAACTCCCACATTCCAAGAAATTCTTATTCTTGGCAATTCTGAGCATTTCGAGGGGGTTGGTTACAGCGAGAGCTGCCACTCTACCTTCTCTCCCAGGACGCCCGAGCGGACCCTGCGGAGCTCCTGCATCTGCCCCCCCACGCCCAGCAGCAACCCCAGGTGCACACAGAGAGTCCTGATGTAGGTGCCCGCTTCACAGCTCACCCAGAAGATGCCTGGAACGGATGACAGAGGAGTATTTTAGAGCAGACATCCAGAAATGAACCACGCCCTTTACCAGAAGCCGCACTGACAACCCTTCACAGAGCCATCAGAATGGGGTGATAGATGAAGGTCATCTTTGCCCTGAGAGCTAATGCCATCTAATTGACATCATTTGGCTCTTCCACGAAGGATGCAGCAGTACAAGAAACAGATGGGATTTGCTTCTCAGCTCATAAAAATAATGCAAGAAGCACTTAGTGCTTGACAGTGGGGAGAATTTAGGTCTTAAGACATCTGCCAAGAATACAAAGCAGCCCGTTTCACAGAAAATTCTACCAGCTGCCAGCTTAAGAGGAAAGAAGGCAGGAAAACCTTGTTTTACCTAATCTTCTCTCGGGATCATACTCCACCAGCTTGCTCTCATAGATGGTTCTGACCCTCAGTTGTCGTTTGACAGCAGCAATGAGGGGTGGTCGCTGAAACAACGCGCCTGTCAGAGTTTCTATCGCCTGAGGGAGGAAGGGGAAGCAACAGCTCACACCTGCGCCCAAATGTGAGAGAGCACCTTGGAGTCTCCACCAAAACACAAGGTTTATCATTATTTGGTGATGCCATATTTAATAAAGCCAGTACAAACCCATGATGTGGTCAAGATGCCACCCCAGCTGCCAGTGAGCGCAGCCAGGCTTTTCCCATCAGGTGGCAGCGTGTGATCAGACACCATCCCTCGTCCCAGTGAGGATGGAGCCCCCCAGAGAGGGGCTCCAGCCCTGCCAGCACTGCTCCCCTCCTGCAGGCAGCCAGCCACACATCCCAGCAGCCCCCAGAGGGACACTGCAGGATGTCTGGAGGCTGCACAGCACCCAGACCCTAGAACAGGGAGCGGGGTGCTGCAGGAGGGCAGCACCACTGCACTCAGAGAATGGATAAACTGCGTCATCACCTCACACACACAGCACACCTGAGCTCCCTTCCTGTCCCCTCATCTCCCACCAGTGCCCAACACTTTGCAGGCCAGGTGCCAGCCTGGCTGAGAGCACGGGAGACTTACCCTGGCCAGCTGAGCCTCACTCTCAATTGCACTGTGCAGCCGAACAATTCCCACATACTCTTTGCCTGAAAGAATGACAAGAGCAGTCAGGAGCGGCCACTTTTATTTAATGTTGACCTCAAGGTCCACACTCCCTCAAAGCCACATGTCCTCAGGGCCCTGAAATCTTAACAACCACCTCTGCTAAGAAGCATGCATGGTTTATTCCAGAGCTGGTTATTCTTCCAGGGAAATAAATCTAAGCTACGTTCATCTCTTCACCGAGTTTTATTTCACTGGACTGGTAAGAGGCTGAGGCTGCAAGTTCACTTAGTACATAAAACCCTGTCAGAAGTGTTTTCACTGACTTAAAACAGCACAAGCCCCACAGAAGCAACGAACAATCACTTGTGACAGCACGGATTGGCTCAGAGTGATAAGCAACCCTTGAAGTTCAAGGCACTGAAGGCCAAGATTGGCCCCTTCAGCACTGGGAATCTCCACTTTGTCTCCAAAAGCACTTCACACATCCCCAGTCACTGCAAGTGGCCTGGGCAACAAACATACCTGCGCTCTGCTGAGATTTGACCAGGCGTGTCGCCCTCTCAATGCACACAATGAGGCACCCCGTCACCTTAGGATCCAGGGTGCCACTGTGGCCCGTCTTCTCCACTCGGAGGATGCGGCGGATCCACGCAACCACCTCGTGGGAGGATGGATTGGAAGGTTTGTCGAGGTTAATAAAGCCAGACCTGCAGCGCAAGATGGCAAAGAACAGGGGCTAAGCATAGAGGCAAACACAGCAAGAGTGCAAAACAGGCGATGTATTCCAT